TCCTCTGGGCTGGGAGCAGCGGGTGGGATGCTGACTGGGAAGCCCCTTCCTCTGGACCAGGAGCAGTGGGACGACGGCTCAGAAGCCCCTACCTCTGGGCTGGGAACAGTGGGACTCAGTACCTTGGTCTGGTGGTCTAGTGTCCTCTGCATCTTTGTAGTGTGGAACCAGGTGGCTGCCTGTCTGCAGCGGGGTGATTTGGTGTCTTCCGTGTGACTCAGGATCTCAGTAGGGTGTGCACAGACCTTCCTGTGTGCAGCGGGCTGATTCCGCGTGACTGGGGACCTCGGTAGGGTGTGCACAGACCTGCCTGTCTGCAGTGGGCTGATTCCTCTTGGTTCTTATTTTATTTCCCATTCCCCTGCCCTTCCTTCAACCCCTCCACCCTTCCCTATTTACAAAGACTTTGTTTCTGTTTTTTCTTTTTCTCGTATTTATTCCTTTCCCTTCCCCTAACCCTCCTACCTCCCCTTCCCCTTTGGGCCTTATCTTCCTATTTCCCATTATCTATTACACATTTTGATCCTTATTTACACTTTTAGTTTCTCACACCAGAGAAACTATTCAGCATTTATGCATCTTTATTGCCTCCTCCACTCGCTTCCCAGGCCCAGTTTCTGCTCTAAAATCTGGTCGAAGAAGCCCTCCTCATCTACTCCTCCTTCTCCTAGGAAGTTCATGGAGCCCTGGGCTCCATCTCTACTCATTCTGGTTGTCTCTGACTCTCTCAGGGCACAAATCTCTTCTTCCCAGGTGGATATAGTGACCTGCACATTCTGGGTGCTGGATCTATAAGAAGATCCATTTTCCCAGCACCTGTCCCTGTGGCTGGGCTTGATAGCACAGGTGTTGCTTGCTGAGAGGATCACTTTGAATGGGACAAGTGGAAAATTGAGTGCAGAAGGGACATTCATGGTCATTGTTATTATTACCACATATTGGATATCTATGCACAGTCATGGTACCATTTGCTGCCACATATATGGCCTCATTTAATCTTTACAATAGCTGCATGGGAGGGGACAGTAGCTCCTATTACTAGTGTATTGATTGGATCCAGAGAGGAGCATAAGGTGGCCCCAGATCACAGAACTTGCACAGGACAGAACTATGACTTACCAGGCCTACCTGCCTGGTCTCAGCCTCCCTGCTAGAGAAATGGGAGTTGTCCCTGCCACAGTGCTGCCTCAGAAGGCTCAGTGCTCAGAGCTCCTTTCTGTTATCTGTAGACTGGCAGCCTGTCCATGAGGTAGACTCTGATCTGACTCCCACCTCTCCTGCTCCTCAGAGCAGAGTCTACTGAATCATCAGCCCACGCCCATGGCACCACATGCACCCCAAGGTTTTTTGAATGAAGCTTGCCCTGGCACTGACACCACAGTTTAGAGCTATCTGAGCCTGTAGCCATCTCTCCCTGTGTGCCTCTCATACATGTAAACAAGTGCATGTGCACATACATGCCAGGCTCAAACCTTCACAATCATGAGCACAGTGTACCAGGTCTAGTTTTCAAATACTTTCCCATTGATTATCTCACCAGTCACCAAAGTTGTCACTCATGCAGCACCTATTAAGTACCAGGGAATGGTCTGGATGCTCCTTACCCATCATCTAAAGTGATACTTAGAGACTAGTGTGCTGCTGAAATCTTACAGGCAGAATACAAGGCTAGTGAGGATCATGGTTGCATCCAGTGGCACACAGGGATCATAAGGAAGCTGAGAGTGAGGGTTAACCCAAATCTGCTACCTCACATGCAAGAACTCCTTCTGCCAGAGCACTGACCGCTAACTCATAACTGCCCTTAAATATACACATAAAATACCTGTATTTGTAGATATAGATGTGTGCTGGTGTGCATTAATGCAGATCTTACTAGCATATACCATCTGTGATTTATAACACATCTATTCACAGAAGGAGAGTGGATCCTTTGCTTTCCTGGGTTTCCACAGTCCTTTGTGGTTCTTCTCAGGGCTTCCATTATTCCTTCCCTATATTGGATATATTTTGAGAACAAGAATACCAAAGCACCTAGCAGGGACATACACACTCAATATATATGTATATTTTTGAGTGCCCTTCAAACTTGGGTACCAGAAACCTCACTCAAGTAATGGTAATTCACAGCATGAAAGAGAAATTTCTCCCAAATCCCATTCTCTCCATTTCCAGACCAAATTCTCAATATCATGAACTCTAGAATCCATGGCCTGGAACCTGCTTCAAGTGCCTTCAATGGCCTATCTTGAGAGTCTGTCTGCCTGAGTATGGGACATATCACAGGAGTGTTCATCCTTAGGCCAATGGATAGCCAAGGGGTCACTCTTTGTGGAGCATGGAGATCAGCGTAGATGAGGTATGAACAGAACTCGATCATATGTCTTGATAATATACAAACATATACTTAAGGCCCCTAGAAGTGTAGGATGGCCCCAGAAATGGAAGGACAAAGGAGGTAGATGTGGGTGTGGTCCCACTAGTTCTACTCTTGCCCTAGGTGCTACAAATATTAGAATGAATGTTTATGTTTATACCATAGTAAGGGGTTAACTGAGCAAGTATCAGTGACTACACACACACATAGATATACATAAGCACTCTTTTCTATTTACTTTTAATCACATGAGGAAGAGTATGACTATTTTGGTTTTTTGGCTTTTTTATATTTTGTAATTTTACATTTTTTGATACAATTGATATTTCAGCACTATATGTACATATGTATATATTTCCATCACTTCAGCTATCATTTCTTTGTAGTAATTCTCTCTTCTAGCTACAATGATGCCTCAGTTCACGAAATTAATTTGTTCTGTGATTTTGAAAAAGATGGCCACATTTCTGTTTGTGTGGGAAAGATGGCTGTGGTCGTGTTTGTCACCCAATACAGAGTTTGCAAAGAAAAACAAAATTTTGCCAAATGCTTCTATTTGTGCACCAAATTGTTTGCAAACAAAAGTGTTGTGAACTGAGGCACCACTGTATTTTGAAATATAGCTCACCTTATTTTTAACTATGGTTATTAATCCACTGTATAATAGAATACCAGAACTTATTTGTCCTGTAGCCTTGTACTTATTGATCAACCTCTCCTCTAACAGTATGCATTTTGATAAATCTGGAACATTCAAACTCTGCTCTTGCTTATTCATCACTACTCCATTATTTGTGGCAAATTTGAGCTCATTCTCTTGGTTCCCTTATCCTTTCTCACTTCTCTTTTTCCCTTCTTCTCTCCTGTACTCCCATATCCCAGTATGCCTATGCCCTGGCCAACTTCATTCGGTCCCAGGGTATCAGCTCCCTGAAGGTGTGGACCAGCCACATGAAGAGAACTATTCAGACAGCTGAGGCCCTCGGTGTCCCCTATGAACAGTGGAAGGCCCTGAATGAGATTGATGCGGTAAGATAGGAAGTGTAAATCTCCTGATAGATGGAGTGATTTGGATCTGAGCTTGTTGCCTTGATTGGCTCTGTTCCAGCCCCTATGAGGAACTTAACTCAATGAATATTTCTTGACAAGCAGCCATGTTCCAGACACCATTCTCTGTCTTGGATAGTGGGAGCCAGAATAGCCAAGGTCTTTGCCCCCATGGAGCCCATAGGCAGGGGGAGGGGGAATGTACAAAGGGCTACGGAGGATCAGAAGATGAAGGTACTCCTGACAAGATTTGGGGAGGAGATTCATAAGGAAAGCTTCCTGAAGGAAACTAGAGGTGAGATAAGAAGCAGGAAAAATGGTTTGAGACTGGGACAATAAATTTTAGTTCAGGGACAGAGAACAGCACATGTAAAGGCCCAGAGATGAGAACAGAGTATGGCATGTTCATAGAACCAAGAGATGCTGGGACAGTGATAAGTCTAGAGAGAAAGGAGATAAGACTGGAAAAAAGACTCAAGCCATACTGATGAATTTAGATTCTTCCCTAAAAGCAACTGGAAGCCGCTGACATAGTCTAAGTACAAAAGGAGTGATCTGAACGTTATACAGATGTTTTAAAGCCTGCTCTGAGCATGTGTGGAGACTAGCTGGGAAGAATAACAGAATGAGTATTTAGACCAGTCAGGAAATGGCTGTATTAGTGTGTCAAGAAGTAAGGACATGTGAGACCAAGTAGTGGCATTAGAGATGGAATGAAGAAGCAGGACTTGGGGAGTGTTTCCAAGATAGCAACAATGTGTGACTTGATGATGCACTGATTGTAAGAACTAAGGAATAGGAAGGAGCAAAGGATCCAACCCCGGTGAAGTGGCAGTCTCTCTTCAGGGACAGGTTTTCCTGTGAGCTCTTTGAGAAAGATTTTTCCTTTCCCTGTCTTACCTGTGCTATAGGTACACTGGCACTGGGTCCACAGGTTATGGTTGTTAGACCCCAACATTAGAACGTCACTAGAGGTATAGGTAACTTGCTTGCCTGCTACATATTCTTCTATAGATAAGACATGTATGTGTGTGTATATTCATATGTATGGTTATAAATATAGTCATGCAAAGGTACACATATTTAGAAAAGTGCTGTATAGTGCTATTCAATATGTCACATACATTTACAATAAAATACATGCATGAAAATATGTAAACTCTTCATCATAAGATTTTGGCTACTGCTTATTTCTGGCCCACATGTGGTGTTAACCTTTATGGAATACCTACTTTTTTTTCAGGTTCTTGGATAATACTAGAGGCAGAGATTAATCTTGACTGAGTTGACTCATGCTGAATTGGTTCAAGTCAATCCTGTCTTGATTGAGTTTTCAGGGTAAACAGGGCAAGCAGAGGAATACAAAACAGCATGACTCTGCTTAGTGAAACCATGGTCACATACATAGAAGCTAGGGCAAGCACCTTGACCTCGCCAGGATATGCCTAGAGGAAGTAATACCTATCAGAAACCTGAGAGTTAAGTGGCAGTGAACCAGGTAGAAAGGATCTGGAATGGTGTTCTGGGCAGAGAGAGCAGCATAAGCAAAAAGTATCATGTGTATATACGGATTCTGAAGTTGTAGCAGTGAAGACAGGGAGGAAAAAAAGATTTGAGAGAAGTTTAAGAATTAGAATCCCAGAAATTGGCTATAGGGGATGGATAAGGAAGAAGCAAGAACTTAAAATGATGCCTAAGCTTAAGGTTTATTTGCTATTGTTGATAATTATATTAATGTTTAATTCCATTGATTCTTTTAAATGTGCCTTATACCTCTTATATTAGTATATTTCATATATGTTATTTCTAATATTCAAAACACTTCTATAAGTTGTAATTCTTATTTTCCAAATGAGGAAAATAAAATTCACAGAGGTTAGAAAATTTGCTTTTAGGTCAAAAAGGAGTCACAGGCAAAAAGCTCCAACATGCTTCAGAATAGAAAGTTGAAGCCATTTCCCATTCATGATAAAAATGCTACAAAAAATTGGAATAGAAGGTTTTTATCTCAACCTGATTAAGTTATCTATGAAAAACCAATAGCCAACATCATACTAAATGGTCAAAAACTGAAAACTTTCACGCTAAAATCAGGAACAAGACAAGGATGCCCACTATCACCACTCCTATTCAATATAGTTCTGGAAACATTAGCCACAGCAATTAGACGAGAGAAAGAAATAAAAGGAATAAAGATAGGAAAGGCAGAAGTTAACCTGTCATTATTTGCTGATGATATGATACTTTACAAAGAAGACCCAAAAATCTCTACCAATAGACTTCTAGACTTAATTGACAGATTCAGTAGAGTAGCTGGATACAAGATCAACACTCAAAAAACAATAGCTTTCTTATACATAAATAGCAGACTCACTGAGAGAGAAATTAGGGAAACAATTCCTTTTACAATAGCATCCAAAAAACCAGAAATATCTAGGAATCAGTCTAACAAAGGAAGCAAAAGAACTCTACACTGAAAACTACAGTACCCTGAAAAAGGAGATCAAGAAGGATACAGGAAAATGGGAAGATATCCCTTGTTCCTGGGTAGGAAGAACCAATATAGTGAAAATGGCCATACTTCCAAAACTACTATATAGATTTAAAGTAATGCCAATTGAAATTCCAACAATATACTTCACAGAACTAGAGAAAACAATCCAAAAATTCATTTGGAACCAGAAGAGACCTAGAATAGCAAAAGCAATTCTGGGCAACAGAGACATGGCTAGGGGTATCACAATACCCAACTTGAAGCTATACTACAAAGCTACTGTGATAAAAACAGCCTGGTACTGAAAAAGAAACAGACCTGAGGATCAGTGGAATAGATTAGAAGATGCAGAAACAACTTCAGACATACTCAGCCACCTCATCTTTGACAAAGGAGGCAACCACCCTCATTGGAAGAAAGATAGCCTATTTAATAAATGGTGTTGGAAAAACTGGATTTTAACTTGCCAGAAATTAAAACTAGACCCATATCTATCACCATGCAGTAAACTAAGATCGAAGTGGATTAAAGATCTAAATATTAAGACAAAACACTAAACTTGCTGGAAGATAAGTTAGGTAGAACTCTTGAAGATATTGACATAGGAAAAGACTTTATGAACAAAACCTCAATAGCACAGGAACTAGCAGAAAGAATCAACAACTCGGATTTCATCTTATTAAAAAGCTTCTGCACAGCAAGAGAAACCACCAACAGAGCTAACAGTCAACCCACAATGTAGGAAAAAAATTTTAGCAGCTGTAACTCAGACAAAGGGTTACTATCTAGAATATATAACGAACTGAAAAAAATTAGACCCCCCAAATTCAAAGACCCAATTCAGAAATGGGCATCTGAAATGAACAGACATTTCTCAGGCAAAGAAGTAAAAGCAGCAAATAAACATATGAAAAAATGTTGAACATCACTGGTTATTCGAGAGATGCGGATGAAAACAACACTGAGATTTCACCTCACCCAGAAAGAGTGGCTGCTATCAAGAAGTCAACCAATAGCAAATGCTGGCGGGGGTGTAGAGAGAAAGGAACCTTTCTCCATTGTTGGTGGGAGTGCAGACTGGTGCAACCACTATGGAAATCAGTGTGGAGATACCTCAAAAACTAGGGCTGGAGGTCCCATTTGACCCAGCTATTCCCCTGCTGGGTATTTTTCCAAGAGAATTAAAAGAATCATACCACAGAGATATATGTGCCCCCATGTTTATAGTGGCACAGTTTGTAATAGCTAAAGCTTGGAAGCAGCCCATGTGCCCATCAACTGGAATCTGGATAAAGAAGATGTGGGTTTTTTTAATAAAATGGAGTACTACTCAGCCATAAAGAAGGAGAAACTAGAGTCATTTATAGCTAAATGGATGCATACTGAGGCCCTACTCTTAAGTGAAATAAATAGGACACATATGTGTAAATACCGAATAGTTTCTCTAGTGTGAGAAACTGAGAGTGTTAATAAGGATTAAAAGGATTAAAAACTAATAATTGATACTTTGAAATAGGAAAAGGTCCAAATGGGTAGGGGTGGTGTGAGGAGATGGGGAAAGTAAAGAATGGAAAGAAAAATTGTGAGAAAAGAAAAAAAAGGAAACAAAGTCTATGTAAATAGGGAAGGGTGGAGGGGTGAAGGACTCACAGGTAATGGGAAAAAAAGAACAAAGATACATCATGTACAGGTACAAGCACCCAATGATAAATGTAAATGTATTGTATCCCTAAAATGTACCAATAAAAGAATTTAAGCCAAAAAAAAAAAGAAGAAAGTTGAAGCCATTTTGGAAAAGACTATATCTAATAGGGTCCAGTTTGACACAGCAGAGCTGTTTGTAGGTTATAGTAAAGGTTTAGTTCCTTACCCCCGGGGAAACCTGGTTGATGGTCCCAAAAGACTACAGTCAGAAGCTCCTGCCACCCTGCAGGAAGGCCTTATTGGAATTCACATACTCATAAACTTTAGAAACCCAACATCCATTCCCACCATCAGCAGCAAATACTTCCATTCTGAGGATTTCTTAATAGCCCTGGAAGTTCTCTTATACTCCTGAGGAACTTATTTTCTGAGCCTTCAATTCCTTCCTTTGATGAAGAGAGTATATCTCCCCAAAGCCCATTCTGAAGCCTTTAAGAATTCACTAGCTTTTGTCCTCGGAAATGTATGTGGATACCTGTTTATTTTCTGAAGTATTTAAAGTATGGGTTGGGTTAGAAGAGATAAGAAATGCTATAAAATAGGAAATACTACTGTATTGTGCATACACACACACACATACACACACACACACTTGCACATAGAGTCATAGCTGCCTGCTGTGCATTTGTTTATATTTATATAATGCTCTTTATAGACACAGGAACCCTCTTTTACCAGTTACATCTGTACCATACATGCACATTATATACACTTAGGCAAATATAGACACTCATCAGATACCCACACAGTCATAATCCCATGAACACAATGAAGCATACCATGGATATATACACAGTACAGATACCTAGCCTCAAGCATATTACTGCAAATTCACACAGACCTCAGGCACAGGCACTCATTTATACATACAGCAGAAGCATAAAGAGGGACATCACACTAATGTATACACATGCCATACATACACTATGTTATGGCTTATGTCTAGATGTCTCCCCAGAGCCTCATGCAGTCATAAATGAGGTTTTTCAGAGGTGGCTGGATCTAAGTGTATGGCGCTGGGATTGAGGGTGTATGGTTATGAAATTAGTTTACTGATCACTTTGACATAGTTCTGAGTGTGAACAATGGGAAGGCCCAGGCTTGATGTGAGTGCTACATGCCCAAGGGACAGAAAGTGGGCTGCTATTGTCACTTGTCACTTGCTACTCCACTGCTTTGCTGCCTTCTGCCTACCATGAACTGTTTCTTCTCTGCAGTGCCCCTTTGCCATGCTACCCTGCCTTAGAGCCAGCCAATTATGTACTGAAACTTCTACAAAATGTGAGACAAAATAAACCTTTCCTTCTATAACTTTGGGTATTGTGTATTTTGTCTCATGAATGCAAAAAATAACTAAGACAGATTTAGGTACCAGAAGTGGGGTTATTTCTGTGATTGTACTTGACCAACTGGTTGACACTGGCTTATGGGAAGAGTTTGGGAAGATTTGGACATGCTAGCTAAAGGAGCAGCCCTGGAATGCCTTAAGCTGTATTTGATAGAAGATTCTGGTCAGAGCTCAGAATACTAGAATGCTTATAGAAATAGGCTTAGGAAGTTTCTGCTAAGAAGAAGGACTGCATTGACTGTTGGACTCCAGGCCATGTGTGTTATGTCTTGGCAGAAAGTTTGTCTGCATTTTTCTCCTGTCCAGAGACTTTGTCTGAGACAGAGATTAAGGGCGACAAACAAATTAATCTTACAGAAGAAATTTCAAGACAGGCTAATGTGGAGGCCATGGCATGGCTACTGTTGGGGCTTTTGGCTAGATTTATGTTGAGAATCAAAATCAAAGAGTCCAGGAGAATGATTTAAAATGTTGTAAATTTGGCCAGAAAGGAAGCTCCTATAAAGATGTGGACTGCAAAGATGGAAAAGAAGAAAACTTGGTTGCTGAGAAGGAACAGGACAACAGAAAACATGACTGGAGGACATCACAGTGAACCACAGGAATCTACCCTTGACAGCCTCAAAGTTCCAAGGAATTTGGAATACGCATGCAGTCTTATTCAACATTTTATCACTGTGACCAAATATCTGAGAAAAACTTCAAGGAGGAATGATTTATTTTGACTCATGGTTTCAAAGGTTTCAATTCATGATCTTCTGGCTCCAAGGCAAAAACATGACAGAAGGACATGATGTAAGAAAATTGCTCACCGCATGGCAGCCAGGAAGCAGAGAAAAAGGAGGAAAGCTAGAGACAAGGAGCTAAGGACCAGATATATTCCCCATGGTCACAGTCCCATTCTCCACTCTCTTCAACTAGGTACCACCTCCTCCTGATCTCCCAATAATGTCAGCAAATTATGCTCTCATAAGAGTGCTAATCCATGAATGAAATTAGAGCCCTCACTATCAAATCACTTCCCCAAAGCCCATCAGCTAGCCTTTGGGGAACCTAATAGATTCAAACAATAGCACATAAACCACACTCACACAAACACACTTCATATGCTGAGACAAATATACTAAAAAACACAAGACATAAGTTCTTAAACACATCACAAATACATTTTATAAGCATGCTGCACACACATTTGTAAATACAATCACAAATCCTTATGCTTTCATATTTACGAAAATACATACTTATATGTATAAGTTGCACCTATAGACCTACTGAGACAGTCATAGAAAAGCACCATACACTTAATCTGAATACATCCATCCAGGTACACGTTTTCTCACACCCACATAGCCACACACTTCATGCATACATATATGTACACATTCAGAGACAACAGGCACATTCACCACTGTGTTCACAGAGATCCAGGTAATCATGTTCTGCTCCATAATCATTGATCTCGGAAATACCAAGTGAATACTTTTGTCTCCAAATGCTTTTTTCCTAGGGTGTCTGTGAGGAAATGACCTATGAAGAAATCCAGGAACACTACCCTGAAGAATTTGCACTACGGGACCAAGATAAATATCGTTACCGCTATCCCAAGGGAGAGGTAAAGTTTTGGAGGAATTGCCTAATTCCTAAGACTCATCCTCAATGTCTATTGTAACTTCTAGTGTAGGGAACAGGGGAAGGGGACGTTACCAGAACCACTGTAATAAGTCCTAGTCTCCTGCGAGCCACGGCAGCACATGGCGAATTACAGGAAAGGTAGAAAAATGAGACTGAGAAGAAGCTGAGCTTTGGGTCTGATCAGTGCTGCTGTGGGCAGCAAAGACGAAAGCCCCCACCTTACTGGACCTTTTATTAACCACTCAGTGCATCGGGAGAAACAAATGTAACAAATGACTTGCAGAGAGTTCAGTACATCCGTGTAAACAAGATGGTAACAGTCCAAGAACAATGAGGAACTGAGTAGATGTTTGTTCCTCCCAGGATGTTTTCAGCTCCCAGGATGTTTCTTGTCCTGGAGAATCACAGCATCACCGGATCATTGAGGTCTCAGTTGTGACCGGAGGCCAAAATGGAATTATGTCTTGGAATTCCATAGCTGGGCTGTAGGCAAGAGAACTAGGCTAACCAAATGATTTTTCCCTAAAATTATGTAGCATTGCTCTCGACATTCTAGGTTTTCATAGTTTCCTAAACAGCTTTAGAAACAGGGAAAAGCATATTTTGCAACAACTTCTATTCTGTAAAACACATGATCATCATATAACACTTGATAGCTCTTGGCTATCTCATATTCTTGGCTTTAGGCAACAGATTCCTCTTTTAGAAACTACGTATTTTCCTGCTCATGCTCTAATTTTAGGAGGACCCATTTTATCCTCCACCTTGTCTCAGCTATCTGCTGACAATAGTTCAACATATTCTAATTTCATGACATTTTGTTGCCAAGTTGCTTAAAGTTCTAGCCTCTATGGGCAATCGGCATCATCCTCAGGGACAGTGGATACTTCTGTCAACTTTGCTACCACTTGAACCAATCCATCAGTTGCCCATCCCCATATGAGAAAAATGCTCATTGCTTTTAATCTAGTCTCTACTTAACCAGTTCTGTATTTTAGAATATTTATTAGTCATACTCCATTTGTGATATAAACTCCTGTGAACAATTATCAGAAAATCAAGGCATCTGGGAAAATGAAATAATAGATATTCTCTTCAGTTATAAAGCACTTTCACATTTTTATCTTCATCCTCAGAAATGATGTATAAACTCAGACTCAATTTGCCTTCATTTTCCTTTATATATCCTAGGCTATGTTACTAGAGGCATAAAAATTTAAAGAAATCATATCTTCTCTTCTCCATGAATTGCACATTTTATTATTACAGTGACCAAATGTCTTTTTTCTTACTAATGCTATTTGCTTAAAAGTATATTTTATCTAATACAAAATTTCTTCTGATGACTGTTTGCCTAGTTCATCTTTATTACTTTCTATGTATATATTTCTGTTTTGTATCTCTTGTAAACAGCTTATAGTTGTGTATTGTTGTTTTTAATCCAAACTGAAAATATCTCTTTTGGATGGTAAGTTTGTTACATTTACTCTTTTTTTTCCAGCAGAAGAAAATATACTTTATTTGATTTTTATGACCTACAGAACCTTGCTCATTTGTGGAAACATACCAAGTGCTAACAAATACCTGCTGATCTATTAACCAGTACTTCCATTTCCCATGGACTATACACATCTTGTTCTCTTACAAATGTAGTTTATTTTGAATACACTTTCCTGAAATAGTTTTCTAAATCCATGAACTAGCACATCTTAAATTCCAAAATTACCTCTAAGGGCCACCTCCTGAAGCCCAGCACTCTTTTCGTCTGATATTATTTTCACTTCAACCATTAAATGTCAAGTTCCTTGACCTTTCCACTTTCTCACTGTCATGCATCTTCCCTTGGTTTCAAGTCCTTCCTACAGCTTCATAATGGATTATTTCTATCATTCACTCAACCTCATTTTACAACTATCCTGTCTCCTTTCACCTGAGCCATATCCTTTCAACAAAAGTGCATCCTGAATCACACCAATCCACCAATGTCTACATTTCCATTTCATTATACAGTATTTGAGGAAGAAAAATCATACAACCAGGTATACTGGTGCTTCTGTACATTTTTGGCTTCCCACTTAAGCTGATTTGGTACATTTATTCTTATTGTAATTACTATTTTTAAAGTTTATTTTTATTATCTTGTCTTGAGTGCTCGAAGCCTATTTTATTTTTCTCTTATCCTTCTTTCTTTAGTATTGAGTTTTTACATCCATATTCAATTTAAATAATCTGTTCCCATTCTTTTAGAGGTCACTCAACATTTTTAAAAAATTTCATCATGTTTCTTTTTATTCTTATAGATATCCCACTAAGGATATGAGGTCAAAATATTGCACAGTAAAGTCACTCAAAATAACTCCTTGTGTGTTACTATGCAACCAACTTGAACACTTAACATTTTAATATGCATGATTAAAAAATCTAAAAACAATATTTCCACCATCCTCCCAAACAATAGAACTTTAAAACTCTGGCTACCCTCTCTCCTAATTTATATGTTCTTTTGTATTTTAGTTCAACGTTAGTCTTAACTCCCTAATGAATTATTTCTATTGTTATGCTGTTTTTATTATTACTGAATACAGTCAGTTTTATTTAGATTTAATCACATATTTGCCAATTCCTTTGATTATTCTTTTTTCTTGCATCTCAAGTCTGGCTTCCAAGTTCATTCTCCATCTTCCTTTGGAATCTATTGATAGTAAACTCACCCTTCTTTTTCTCTAAAGCTGTCTTGGGAGGTGAGCATCTTCAATCCTAGATGATATGTTGCCCAAGTATAAAACTCTAGGTTGATAGCTGTTTTCCCAGTACTTTGAAGATATTTCCATCCTTGTCTTCTGGTTTCTACTCTAGCTAAGAAACTTACTCAGTTTAATTGTTGTTTCTTTACTCTCTGGCTACTCTAAAGTCTTTGTATCTTTGTTGCTTTTACATTTTGCTTTTAAATGTCTAGATTATTAATTTTTTGTTTATCTTGCTTGAGATTGATTGAATTTCCTGAATCTGAGAATTGAAATTTTCAATTCCATAAAACTCCAGACATTGTATCTCTTAAAATTATTCTCTTACATTCTGTTATCTCTTTCTAGAAATAAAATTAGGTAAGTATTAAATATTTTATGTTCCCTGATTTTTCCTTCTTATTTTCTATCTCTTTGCTGGATTGAATAATTTCTTCCAAATCACTGATTCTTGTTATATATAATATGCTGTTTATTCCCTACATTTAGTTTTCAATTTCAATGAGTATATTTTTCATTTCTGAAATTCTTAGTATTTTTTCAAATCTGCAGCATATAATTGATAGTATCTTGTTTCTTTCTTTTAGGGGTACTAGGGATTGAACCCAGGACTTTCACACTGAGCTACATCCCCAACTATCTATCTATCTGTCTGTCTGTCTGTCTATCTATCTATCTACCTTTGAGACAGTCTCCTTAGTCACTAAGTTCCCCATGCTGGGTTTGAACTTGTGATCCTCCTGCCTCAGCCTCCCAGAGTGCTGGGGTTACATGCCTTTCTTACATTTTAAATGCATATTTTATTTCTTTGCAAATGACAAACATTTATTTTATATTTTATATAAGCTTTTAGGAATCTCTCTTGTTGTTTCTGCTTATTCTTATCCATAGTAGCTTATTTCCTTCTGTGTTTGTATTTATCTGTGGGAATTTACCTATGGGAATCCCATATAGCCTGAGGTGAAAAAATACAGAGATGTTCCATTTGTTTCCTCTAAGTAGTCCTGGGAGCTAACAAATTTACATCATTTTTTGTTAAATTCTCAGGGAACATATTCCAAACCACATGGGTAGTGTAATTATGATTCACCAACCTACCTGAGGGAATATTTTTAGTTAGAAATTCTTACAGGGGCCATTTCCTAATTTTTTCCACCAAGAGTTAGTGAGAGACAATGCATCTTCTTGTTTTCCTTTGCCTGTGGATGGAATTTTTCTAGTTTGCACTTTTATTGAGGATATCAACATTTGTCCTTTGAGGGACTCAGATTTATATTAGAGTCTCAGTCCAACTTCCCACTGTGTGCACACCTAAGCCCCTATGCCCTATTTCTATAACATTTAAAAGTTCAAGCTTCTTGTTACTATGATTGATAAGTACCCCAGGAGAGCTGTGGCTTCTATACCCACTAGTTACTCCTTTCTCCAAGTTTTTCATTTTGAAATCCAATAGTCATAGAATATTCTTAATTCTTCTAAAATGTAAAGAAAAAAAGAAGACATCT